CTCTTTAAAAAGAGTTAGTTTAGGGCTGGGTATGGTAGTTCACACTTTTAATCTCAGCATTTGGGAGACAGAGGCACCTGGATCTCTGTGAGTTCAAGGCTAGCCTGGCCTACACAGTGCGATGTGAGTGAAGGTCAGAAGACATCCAGAGCAACACAGTGAGACTCTGTCTCCCCAGCCCAGCTAAAAATAAGAAATATTCATGTGTTTTACTTTTCTTGATGTCCTTCCCCTTCCATGAAAAGCCTTTGGGCCAAGAATCAAAGATCTTGCCTGCTGACTTGATTCTGATTTTTGTTTTGATACAAGGTCTCTATGTCAGTGGTTCTCAACCTCTGGGTCACAAGCCCTTTGTGGATCTAATGATTATTTCACAGGGGTCACCTAAGACCATCAGAAAACACAGATACTTACATTATGATTTGTAATAGTAGCAAAATTATAGTTATGAAGTAGTAACAAAAACAATTTTATGGTTGGGGGTCACCACAACATGAAGAAATGTATTAAAGGGTCACAGCATAAGGAAGTTTGAGAACTACAAGCTGTCCTGGAACTACATAGAGCAGGCTGACCTTGAACTCACAGATCCACCTGCCTCTGCCTCCTGGGTACTGTGATTAAAGATGTGGTCCACCAAGCCTGGCTACTTGCAATGCTGAATCTTTATGCACATAGGCCTCTCCTGTGACTAGGTCTGCTCTACACCAATGAGCACTCTCACGAGATCACAGGGAATGCATAGCCCACAGAGAAACCTCTTCTAGTCAGATTAAGAAAGGCAGGGGAGTACCCAGGCTAAGTACTGACCATGGCTGGGGGGCAGCAGGCCACTTAAGTAGGGGAGGTAGGGGAGACTTGCTCTTCTCAGCTCATCCAGCTTCTCCTGCAGCTTGCGGACCTGGCTGTCAGATCGGCTAACCCTCTGCCGAAGACTCTTTAGCTCTCCGTTCTTCTTTTCCACCTGCTCCCGCAGGCAGCATACTTGGCTCTTGTTCTGCCGAGCCGAAAAGCAGTAGGAGTGCAGGGAGTCGATGAGCTTACAGGCCCCTGAGGCTGACAAGATGACCTCGTTGATGGACATGGGGTTAGCATCACTGTGTTCACTCTGCACGGCTTCTGCAGCTGGCTTTGGGGTTACATCAGTAGGAGGGGCAGAGGGGCTCTGGGAAGCCTTCTGAGGGGTTGCTGTAAGTGAGGAACTTGGGGGACTTTGGGCCACACTATTCCCACTGCACCTTGGCTCCATATCTCTCTTCAGCCTCTTTCGGTCCATGGGCTCACGGGGGACAGATGGCCTCTCTCGAGTGTGCTTAGAGGAGAAACTATAAGAATGTAGTGAACCGATGAACTTGCAAGCTCCAGATCCTGGGGGTGTGAAGTCGTCCATAGAAATGCCACTCTTGTCTGCCCCGCCTGCATCGGCAGAGGAAGAAGCCTTCTGGGGGTCAGCCTCTGTAGCAGACACTTCTGATCCTTCCCGGGTGCCAGCCACTGGGGCGGCCTGGCCATCTCCTGGAGTTCTTTCCAGAGACTGCCCCTGCTGCTCGCTGACAGCACCTGGGGTGGCCTTGGGAGTTGCATCACTCAGTGAAGAAGCTCGCTTCAACTTTCGGGACTCAGGCTTGGACATCAAGTTATCACTGGAGGACCCTGAGGAACCCATGCTTCCTTTCCCTGTTGCTGCGCTTGTGTGGCCCCTCATGGTCCCTGTGGTCTTTCTCCTAGCATGGCCATGGCCTCCAGGCCCCCTCTTCTTGTCTGACAGGTGGAAAATAGAGGGCACAGCCGTGGGCTTCAGCAGGCGATGCTGGTCCTCCAGCCTTTTGGAGAAGCTGTCTTTGGTAAAGTGCTCACTACAGAGGAATGAATACTTAGTGGGGGTCCAGTTATCCCTCTGAACAGCTTTTAGCCACTGGATCAGTCGTTTGGAGTCCTTTAGGGGGAACCTGGAGGACACATAACAAAGTACTTAGAAATATTGAGATGCCTTCCTCTAAAACTATCATCAACCAAAGCAAATCAAGTGTTTTTGTAAGCAGCCAAACCCATACTGATGTCATCTGCTTAAAACCTAATAAGGAATTCAGGACCATCTTCCAGGTTATTACCGAAATGAAAAGGAAAAGCCCTACTGTATATATTTTAGGGCCCTGAGTCTATAGGTTAGAGAGGAACAAAGGATACCCCTTATAGGTGTGGCAAATGACTCTGGCCACAAAGGATGCTCAGTAGAATCCGGGACAACAGGAAATAGCTTTCACAAATGGACCACTGACCAAATCATCTGGTACCTGAAAAATAGGTTTCTGGGTGCTACAACCCTAATGAGAAACCAGGCAATAGAGTTGGGAGCAAGAGACCAGGAAATATTTCAGAGGCCTGGCTAAATACCAACCACAGCTGAGGCTCAAGTAGCTAAGGGTATAGGAAACAGCTTTCCCATTAAGACCCAAAAGCTCTAGCCAGGCCTAATGGTGCACAACTGTGATCTCCTCAGTTACTCTGAAGCGGGAGGATCACAAAGTCAACATCTCCCTGGCTACAGAATGAGTTCGAGGCCTATCTAGGCAGCTTAAGTGTCTCTTAAACAAAAACAAAAACAAAACAAAACAAAAAAGAGGCAAGTGTTGTGGTGTATAGCTGTAATTCCAGTACTCAGGAGGTGAGAGTAGGATGATTCAGGCCTCAGTGTCATCCTTAGCTACCTATGAGGCCAGCTTCTGCTGAGATTTTGTCTCAAAACAAAAAGAGAGAACAAAAACAGGAAAAAGAGCTGGGCGTATAGCTCACTGGTAGAGTGATTTGTGATCCTAGGTTTTTCTTCTACTAGGCAGCAAAACTGTTCCTTTAGGAGCCTAGGTACACCTATAGGACGTTATGCTGAGTGAGCTGGTCATAGGCTGGGGTGGTAGTGTAAACTTTTAATCCCAGCACTTGGAACACAGGCAGGCCTCTGAGTGTTCAAGGCCAGCTTGGTCTGCAAATCGAGTTCCAGAACAGTTAGGGACATGTAGAGAGATCCTGTCTCAAAAGGAAGAAAAAAAAAAAAAAAAAAAAAAAGCAACAAGTTGTTTGTGGTGGCTTATGACTACAATCCCCCCACTTGGGAGGCAGAGGCAGGAGGACTGCCCCAAGTTTGAGGCCAGCATAAACTTTAACAATGAGTTGTAGGCCAACAAGGCCACTCAATGAGACCTGGTCTCAAAACACTCATAAAAATGGCAGGAAAAAAAAAAAAAAAAAGATGCGCAGTAACATACTTGGTAATTTTTTTCTCTCATCTAATGAGCTATTTAATGATCATTTGTTAAGGCGAGATATGTTAAGACCAAACTGGCTACACATGGTAGGGTTGATGGCTAGCTCAACTGCTAAGGGTCCCACCTGAGGAGGCTGCTGTGGACCAAGACTGGCTCTAAACAGGATGAATCTGTACGTTCTAAGCAATGTGACCTTCTAACCTTCTTTCTCAATGTTTAATAAGCTAGATTCCTAGAGTTCCCCCGCCTCCAATTCCAGCACTGTCTACCTCCATACCTTAGAACATCGAGAATGCCAACAATGATCCTTTCAACTCTGTCTCATTTTCAAAAACTGTTAACAAAACTTCTGGGGCATGTTCTAAATGAAATTGTTACGGAAACATTCTGGCTGATCTATAAGATTGTTTAACGCTACCAGGTTTTGTTTTGAACCAGACAGTACGACCTGAGACTCAATGTAACCCTGTGTACTTTCAACGGACACGTGTCATTCCCATCTTTAAATTTTAACACCAGGTACTAAGAGGTAGCAGGATGTGCGAAGTGATTTCTAAGGCAGAGTCCCTTCGCTTGCTGTTCACTGCTGTTGAAAATCGCAGGAGAGGACGAACTGAACTGGGGAGTCTTGAAAGCCTTCGGAAGGCAAGGCCCGCCTGGGGGCCACCAGAGAACCTTTCGAGAAACCTCCGAAAGCCCTTCCACGGTCCTCCCGCGGGCCTCTGGCAGAGTGCTGGATGCGGGAGGTGCTCAGTGCCAGTGCCCGGACCGCAGGACCACGAAGGAGAGCGATGAAGGACTATGGATGCAGGAAGTAGAGCTGCGTGCGCCGGGCCGCACTCCTGCCACACACCTCCAGGCGGGCTGCCCCGCCGAGGCAAGAGCGGAGAACTGCTCGAAACCAAAGAGCAGAATTAATCTAGGGAAGCGCCCTTGCAGAAGGCTCCTGAAACTGGCAGCGTCAGCCCCAAATCAGTGCGGCGCCGGTTGGTGGAGGTGGCGGCGGGGGCCTCCGGTCGCTCTGCCCGAGGCATAGCTGTGCGGGTACCCAAAGCCGGCGGTCCGGGCCAAGGTCACAAAGCCCCACGACCCGTCCACCTCCCTCAGTTGCGCTTAGCTACCCGGCCCCCGACTCCCAGTCCCCCGAACTCGGCCCGCCGCGCGGCCTCAGTTTCCCCGCGGGCCCGGCCCGGGCGGGGGCGTGGCGGACCCGGAGGCGGGCCGCGTACCTGTGGAAGGAGACAGCGCGTTTCTCGCCCTTGCCCTGCCTGTTGGAACAGTTCACGGCCGCACAGCAGATCACCATTGCGGGCCTCGATCGTGGGCGCCGCCAGGCTCCGATCCTTGCCGCCCGCCCGCTGGCCCGACCCGCCCCGAGGGAGCGCGGCGACACAGCTCGGGACGTGGGCCGCGGCCGAGCCGTACAGCAAGATGGCTGCGCGCTGCCGCCCGCAGCGCGCTGCGCTCGGGCTGCCGGGCCACGGCGGCAGCGTAGCGGCCACGGCAGGCGGCGAGTCCGTACCGAGACATGCGCGGGTGACGGGGCGTACGGAAAGATGGCGGCGTCGGAAGAGTGCTCCTCGGGCAAGCGGTGGGATGCTCCGAAGGGGCGGTGAGGGGGCGGGGCGATTTGGTCCCGTCGGGAACCACATAAGCCGAGGCCCCGCCTCCGCGCTCTCACCGCCGTACGGCGAGATGGCGACGCCCGCGCTTCCGCTGCGCCGCGCTTGGCTACCTCGGCTTCCCGTCGCCGTGTCGCGCAGTGGTCCGTCGGAGCGACACCACGGGCAGTCGGCGGCCGGACGGGGAAGATGGACGCAGGTGAGGAGGGCGGGCGCCTGCCCTGTCGCAAGCGGGCTCTTGTGGCCGCCCCGTAGGGCGGAGGCCGGTGTGTTTAGCAGGACGGGCCGCGCCTCCCCGCAGCGCGCAGTACCCGGTTCGCGGGGCCATCGGTCAACGCCACGGCCTCCGGCGCCTCCAAGGCCCTTGGGGAGCGCCCCAGCCTGTGGGTTCCCCGGCTCTGGGCGGGAGGGCAGCGAGGCTGAGGGACGATCAGGACGCGGGCACACTGGTGCCCAGGGTGGACCCCTCGCGCCGTGGAGCTAGGCCTTACCCTGCCCAGTGAAGAAGCCGACCTCTTTAACTTCTGTCAAGTTGTTGGCTGATGTCCCAGCAACCACAACATGCACATCTTTTGTCTTTAAAGTTCAGTAACCTGTGTAGGTGATCCACGCTGCGTTCCTGGGCTGGAAACAGTGAATCAGTCGCATCCTACTTTGACTTCTTGGCGTACTGATAATACTGGGTTATGGGTGGGTGGTGTTGCCTGTTTGTTTTTGTTTCTTTAACTGCCTCTTGCTTCCTAAGATCCAGAAAGTACAGTTCTTTGTTTTTCCTGGCAAGGTGTCTTGAAGATGCAAATTTATCAAATACAGTGTTCGATAATAGCCCTAAAAATATCTACACAACCCCCCCCCAACAGAGATTCTTGCTTTCATTTCCCCAGCAGCATTAGTGTTTATTTTTTTTTTAATTGATTTTTTAAAAGAACTCCTATGCCTTCAAAAATTCAGTCCTTTGTGAAGGAATCTTGCCACCTGGTTTTATTGTACCTGTCTTCAATTGCCTTGCTTTGATGTTTTCCTTTTACTAACAGTTGTACCGTAAATGTAGTTGGCTCTTACTTGGGAGTGATGCCTACAGTTAATACACATTTCAATGGTTTCATCTCTTGGGTGTTTCAAATGGCTGGAGGAAGCTGGAACCTTGACTCCCCAAGAAGCATGAACCAGGTGTATATTTTGTGAAGTTAGTAATATATATATATATATTTTAAGAATGAATAACCGAAACTGCCACAGTGTTTCTGGAGGTATGGAGTGGAATAATTATTGAATTATCCCTACCTTCTTTTTTTTTTTTTTTTTTTTTACACACAAGAGGGCCTCACTATGTAGTCTTGTCTGATTTGGAACTCATAGCTGTGTAGATTATGTTGGCCCCAGACTCACAGAAATCTGTCTGTGTATCCCTAGTGCTGGGATTAAAGGCTAGAACCACCTTGACTCCAGTTTCTTTTTAGGTATTTTCAGATACCTAAAGCCCTTAATATGAGAGATACAGTTAGGGTGGAAAACACAGTTTAATAGTCATATTGCCGTTAATGTGAAAAATAGTTAAAGTTAAGTCTATAATTGTTCCATCGAATGATGGGACCTTAAGTGGGCCTTAAATGCTGCTCAAAGATCAAACTCAAAAAGACATTTGTGTTTGAAGACCTGTGTTAGTGCTGATAAAAAACACATACGACTGTTTTTGGGTATGATGGAGTAGTTTTTCTCCTGATATAATGCTGGGTGGCCTTTTATGATCTACCCTCTGATCCCTGGGCTCCCCTCTCTTGATAATGTCTCTCAGCAAAGCCCTTGCTGTTCTAGAACTCACAATGTAGACCAGGTTGGCCTTGAACTCAGAGATTCACTTGCCTTTGTCTTCCAAGTGCTGGGATTAAAAGTGTGAGCCACTATATTCCACCTTACTTGTTCTTTTTATAAACTACATTTATTATTGAGTATCAGGAGTTGTAATGTAGACATCAGAGGGAAAAAATGGAGAAAAGAAATAAAATATTATCGTGAGACAGCTGACATTCCCTACAGGGGACTAGGAGTCTGTAGGAATGACTGGTGCTCATATGAAAGAATGATGTGGGCCAGATTATAAGGGGATTAGAGTTGTAGCAGGCTGGCCAAGAAAAATTTCATTTAGAAAGTATATTTTAAAATTTTTTTGAGATTATAATTTATTATTTTCCCCTTCTCTCTCCTCCCTCCAGACCTTCTTATGTACACCCACAGCTTGCTCTCTGAAAGTACATTCTTGTCAAGACCAAACAAAAAACAAAACAAAACAAACAAAACAAAAAAACAATTATGTAAGTGAACTGATGGAGGAGCTGCATAGAGGCTGATGTACCCAAGTGTAATGAGAGGGTCAGAGAAGCCAGATCTAAGAGTTCCCAGTACCACTGTGAGGCAGCCCGCAATCCGATAACCCTAGTCAAGGGGACCCAGTGCCACAGGCCACCTAAGGCACTTGCACTCACATGCACATATGCACGTGCAGACACATGCCTGCACAGTTTGTTTATTGGTTTTTTGGAGATAGGGCTTCTCTGTGTAGCCCTGGCTGTCCTAGAACTCACTCTGTAGACTAGGCTGGTCTTTAACTCAGAAATCTGCTTGCCTATGCCCCAGAGGGATTAAAGGCCTGCATCCACCCATCCACCCAGTTTAGTTTTATTTGTTTGTTTAAATGCAAAGATGGAGAAAGATTATTTAGACTCAATCATGGATCCTTGGTAGGTCACAGTGAGAACTCAGGCATTTGTTCTGAGAAGGATTCCTTGGAAGGTATTGAGAGGAATATGTGATTGCACTGAAATTGCTCTGGGATTTAAAACAAACATTTACTTACATAATTTGTATTTATTTTTTGAAATTAAAATATAATTAAATCATTTTCCCTTACCTTTTCTTCTTCCAACCCCTCTCATGTATTCCCTCCTTGCTCTCTCTCAAATTCATGGACTGTTTTTCTTTAGTTGTTGGTGTGTGTGTATTTCTGAATATATAAATAAAATCTGCTTAGTCTGTATATTATTTTATGTATATGATTTCAAGGCGACTACTTGATACTGGGGAGGCTCTTCTAAGGAAGACCATTTCTCCTGTTCTCAGCATTCCTTAGTTGGCTGTAGTTCTTTTTCTAGGGTTTGGTCCCTATGAGATTTCCCCCTTCCATGTTAGCATGTTAGTTCCGTGTTAGTTGGTGTTCTTGTTCAGTTCTTGTTTAGGAAGCTATGCTGATTGGACTCTGGGTAGCTTCTAAGAGATGTGAACTCACAGCAAACTTCCTGTTCTTCTAACTCTTTAAAGTCTTTTGGCCCTCTCTTCCCTTCTGATCCCTGAGCCTAAATTACAGGAGTTATGTTGTAGATGTAACAGTTGGGGATGGGCACCACATGGTCGCTTGTTCTTTCCATTTTGATCAGTTGTGTTTTTCTGTAACGGTTTCCATGTATTGCAAAGAGACTTTTTCTTGTTGATGGGTGAGAACTACACTTATCTGTGGGTATATGGGTAAATATTTGGACTCTAGTTAGGAATTATGCTGGTGTAGTAAGGTAATGATTGTAGGTTCTCGAAGACCCATGGCATTACTAGCCTCAGCCAGGTAGTTGGCTAGGTTTCCAGTACCAGGCTTAATTTCTCTCCTGTTGAGCAGGCCCCCCTCTTTCTGTGTGTGTGTGTGTGTGTGTGTGTGTGTGTGTGTGTGTGCGTGTGCACTTCTGTGCTCCGGTTTGAAAGAAGTGTTGGTGACCAGGAGGGATGGGTGAGTAGGTAGAGTGCTGTTAGAACAAACACGGGAGTCTGGGTTTGGATCCGTAGCATCTACATAAAAGTGATGTGAGGGAGCCACTGGTCTCTCTACACATGTGTATGCAGCCTCACAGAATTTGAATTAATCACTTACCTATCCCTCTACTACAGGTTGAGTATCCCTAATTTAAATTCAATATCCAAAATCTCAATAGTTGCCAACCTGATGCTATGTTTGGGAAAACTCTTTACCTGAGCTCATGTCAAAGCAGTCACACATGGGAATGTAGCTCAGTGGTAGAGTGCCTTTTTAGCATGCGCAAGGCCTTGAGTTTTTTTGTAGAATGTTTGCCTACTGTTCATGAAGCCCTTGGTTCATCCCTAGCATTCATTGTAACCAGGCATGGTATCCTATATTTGTAACCCAAGCATTTCCCCAGAAGTGAAGGAAGGCAGATCAGAAGTTCGAGGTCATCGCTGACTATATAGAGAATTTTAAACCAACCTGAAATGCATGAAACCCTTGTCTACAAACAAATGAAAGCCATGAGATGCCCAAACTCTTTATGTATGTGCCTGTAACCCCTTGGGAAGCAGAGGCAGGAAGTTTATAAATTTGAGGCCAGCCTGAGGTCTAATGAGACCCTATCTTAAAAACTGGATATAGTGACCCTTGGCCATAATCTCACAACTGAAGAGCCTGACTGAGGCCAGCTGGGTTACATAGTTCCAGGTTAGTTTGAGTTACTGAGTGAGATCTTGTCTCAGCAAAAACAAAACCAACAACACATCTAGTAGCCCAAGCCTGTAATCCCAGCTATTTAGAGGACTAAAGTAAAAGGATCACAAATTCAAGGCCAGTTTTGGCCACAAAGTGAGTTCAAGGCTAGTTAGCCTGAGCTAACCTGTTCTTAAAAATAAAGAGTGAAATAAGCAGGGTAGAGATGTGACTCAGTGATAGAATGTCTGCCTAGCATGTATGAGGCACCAAGTCCAGTTCCTGGTACCGCAGAACCAAATAGAAAAAAATAAACATCTTTACAACCACCATCACATTAAAAAGAATTTTATGAAATTACTTTCAGGGGACTGGAGAGATGGCTTAGCAATTGTCAGAGGACTGGAGTTAGGTTCTCAGCACTCAGACTTGTAATTCCAGCTCCAGAAGATCTTATGCCTTCTTATGGCCTCTACAGGCACTGACATGTGTGCATGTACACAACACATACACACTTTTAAAATCCATCTCCCGCCTGTATATAAGGCGTGTAGATGAAACCTGATTAAGTTTCATTTCTGTATTTGGGTCACAGTGCTTTTTGTAATGAGGTCTTATTATGTACATGCAGATACTCCCAAATTTAAAATACTTCTGTCCCAGTTAATGTACTGTAGGGTTACTTTGAACTTCTGATCTCTCTCCCAAGTGTTCAGAATTACATACCAGAATTACAGATGGTTCACCAACAGACCTCAGTTTATATGGCACTAAAGATCAAACTGAGGGCTTTCTGTAAACTAAGCATTCTGCTAATTGAGCTATGTTACCAGCTTCACAGAACAGGATTTGATGTGAATATTCTGTCTAGGGTGTATACTAAAACAGAGTTTCCTAGCTTTGTGGCATCTGAAGTTTTTACTTGTACATGCAAACTATTATATTAATCATAAGAATTTTGAAAGGAAAGAACTTTCCTTCTGGGGACTTGCTGTGTCTCCCCAAGTCCTCAAACTCATGATCCTTCTCCTTCAGACTCCCAAATGCTGGAATTATTCCTGAGCCATCATTCTTAGCACTGAGATATATTGCCATAATCTCTGAGAGATTTACTGGCTGTATGTTTTTGTGATTCTCCCTGATTGAATGACAGTGTAGTTTGTGGTTAAGTAAAAAGTTCAGTTCTGTTAAAGCACAATTCCCTATTTTTCTGATTGTTAGATAAGCAATATTAAGTCATAGTACCTTTTCTAACTAAACTGTCATATTATTAAAGCACTTTTCATTTTCTCTTCTAGTGGTCACAGAAGTCTAAGGATGAGGATGAGGATGCTTGATACCTAGGGTGCTTGACCAAATGGAAGAGGGCAGGGTATTCTTGGACACCTTACTTCCTCTGTGTGTTGTCTAATGGCAAATTTAACCTAACCGTTGCTTGGAGGTTGGAAACTGTTTTCTCTTTAGGGCTTGCTTCTCTGCCTCAGGAGCCATTCGTAGTACTTTCTAAGTGACATGTGTTGGGGTTTAAAGAGGCTGTAACAAGACAATGCAGTTGAACTGAAAAACCTCTGTGGAGAAGTATGGAGGCCAATTGGTGTCCAGAGAGGAGAGTCTTTTGCTGTGTAGACATATGTATATGTTAGTGATCATGAGCTTAGGTTTGAACTTGTCCTGGGTTCTCATCCTCTTGGACAGAGCTTGTGGTGCCATTTCTTGGGTGAGGTAACTGAAGCTAAGAGAAGTGTGGCAGGTTGCTGTATGGCTCCAAGTGTGGGTGGACTCTGTCTCTAAACCTTTGTCATCATTAGAGCCTGAGTTTGAAAACCTCCTCTTTTTCATTTAAAGTAGATGCAGGTCAGGAATTTTTCACCTGCCTCAACTTTTCCTGGGTGATGCTTTGTGAATGGCTTGTTTGTTTGTTTCAGTTGACCTTGGGTATGCCCAGGTAAGGGGAGGTATTCTGGGAATGGTGGCATATGTTTTCCTTCTATCTTCCAAACCAGTGGGATGCCTGCAGCAACAAATGGATGAGATTGCCTTCATGTACCTTTCTAATTGGAATCATTGAGGCCATGGAGCCTTAGGTGTCAATTCTTCAAGGTGAAAGGTCAAAGGCATCTGTGCTGACCCTGTGGTAGCATAGCTGCTTTCTGCTCTAAATGCAGTAACAAGTCTTCTGTGTGTGTGTGTGTTTTCTCTTTTTTTAGATAGAGTTTTCCTATGTATGCTTGGCTGGCCTGGAACTCAGATATCCACCTGTCTCTTTCTCCAGAGTGCTGAGATGAAAGGCTTGTACTACCACACCAGAACTGCTTGTCTTTCTTGAGGAAAGTTTGTTGGGTTAGAATCTGTTTTGTTGAAGAAACCTACACATTTGATTTGATTCTTCTGTACATTGTTACACTCCCTTTAGGAACAGATTGGATTTCTTTCCACAAAGTATTTCATCATTTCAAGGACTAGAGAAGGCTTATGGCATTCCTCCTATCGTTCAGACCTCTAGAACCCTTACTCCCCAGCCCAATGAGGAATGCACAAGTGTTCCCACTTTACCAGTGAGGAGATGGAGATAGAGAAAGGACACTGACTTATGGGGATCACATGCTAGTTTTTGGTGGCCTCAGACCCCTGGTTCCACCGCTGGGCTCTTAATTCCCAAACTACACTGCTAGGAATGAATGCTTTCAGGACTGTGACAGACATAGCTTCTCCTCGAAGTTTCCTCTCAGGAACAAAGCAAACACTCCTCCGACCTGAGGAGGATACAGTAGAGTGGCAGGAATAGGAGAGTAGCTAGATAGCAGTCTTCAGCTAGGCCCGGGCACAGGTGACTCTCAGCTAGTGGAATGTGGGATTCTGCTGGAGGCCTGGGCACTCCTTTCCACAGACCCTTGGGATCACTGTTGCTTCTTGGCTGCTATGAAACTGTTGAGAGCTGTGATTGCCACATTGTAGTTTTGTTCCTTCTGGTTTCTTCACACCCACTCTGGCTTTTGGTTTGTCAAGCTGGACAACCCATAATTTTCATAGTTATAATAGTAGGCTTGGTGATACATTTGAACTTAATAGAGCCCACTTACTGCTTTCACTTTGAACTTGGCTTCCTTTCCTATAAAGTTTGCTAATAAACCTTAGAAATTTGCCCACTCTTCATTTTTCTGCTTTAGACATTAGGGACATGTGTTTTTTTGGCTTCTTGAAAACATGAATGTTAATTTATTTCAATTTAGCCTTTAGCATCATTTTACATACATAACCGTATGTAAAATGGAAGAAATTAAGTTGGGCTTAGGATCACCAGGCAGTTTGTTGACATTGTCTTGAAAGTAGACAACTGAAGCACAGAAGAGTAGAGTTCCAGGAAAGGCCTACTGGGTCCGCCCCCTGCCCTGCTAGAAAGCCTCAGCAGTACTCTGTCACTGGGGACTTGTCAGTGTGGCCTGTACTTCTGGGGGATATAATCCAGCACTTCCCAGCCTGTGACTGTACCCAGTGAAGCCTTCTGGCCATAATAAAATGGGAATGTTTTCAACTCTGATTCTACATCCTTATCCCTGACATTAATGACATCCGTGGACATTGATGCCCTTTTGTCTACGTGCAGAAATCTTCCATGAAGGCTTCACTGCTGTGTGGCAAAACAAACCTGTTATTACCCCATTTTTATGGATAAGTGATTGTTTACATTAAGAAGTTATATAAATGGCCAAGAATCTATGGCTTGTGGTTGCCCTAGCTAGATTTAAACCCTGGCGACCAGTAGTGCCCACCTTTGCCATGCTCTGTCACCAGTATGGAAGCTGAATGTACTGGGTATCTATATCGATGGTGTATAGAGCTGCTGGTTAGAATGTTAGGACACACCTTCTTTTGGGGGATATAGTTCAGTTGGTAGAGTGCTTGCCTAGAAGTTTAAGGTCATTCTTGAATACATTTCAAGTTCAAGGCCTAGGATGCATGAGACCCTAGCTCAAAAAAATAACATAAATCTGGGCAGTGGTGGCATGCATGTTTGATTTCAGCACCTGGAAGGCAGACACAGGTGGCTCTCTGCGAGTGTGTGGCCAGCCTGGTCTACATTTCAAATTCCAGGGCAGTCAGAGCTATGTAGAAAGACTGTTTCCCTAAAAGGGGGAAAAAAAAATTAAGACAAAACATTATAAGTTTCAGATAACCAAGAGCTTACTTTTTTTTTTTTTTTTTTTTAATTTGAGGGGCAGTCTTTGTTCCTATTTCCTGATGCTGGCCCAACCTAATGTTTTCTCCCTACAAAGTCAGATGTCAGACTTCTGTCCCCAACCTTCATCAGAGCAACTATTTGAAAGACTGTTATGTGTGCTCATATATTTGCTTATGTGGCTATTAGAGAAATGCAAAAATGCAGTTGTTGCAAGAATCTTTAGTATATAAATGGTACAGTGATCTCAGTATGAAATCAGACAATTGTGTTTCCTTGGTTTCCATAGCCACTTTGACATATGATACTCTCCGGTTTGCCGAATTTGAAGATTTCCCCGAGACCTCAGAGCCTGTTTGGATTCTGGGCAGAAAATACAGCATTTTCACAGGTATTATCCACTTGGCTCAGATTACTTCTGCAGAAATCTTGAGATGGCACTTGTCTGCTGACTCTGATTTTGTTTGTATTTCTCTTTTAAATAACTAGAGAAGGACGAAATCTTGTCGGATGTGGCATCCAGACTTTGGTTTACATACAGGAGAAACTTTCCAGCCATTGGTGAGTAGTCCTTAATCTTTCAAATGTTTTGGTTCGTTTGTTTGTTTTTAATCTGTCTGTCTTCATCTTTTGTGTAGGGGTACAGGCACGTGAATGGAGATCAAAGGACAACCTAGGGTTTCACCTTGTTGGAGACAAGGTCTCTTATTTATCATGTGTATATCAGTCTATCTGTTCCATGAGCCTCTAGGGATTCCCCTGTCTCTGCCTCCCATCTTCCTGTAGGAGATCTGTGATTCAGAAGTATGCTGCTGCATTGAGCTTTATATAAATTCTAGGGATTGAACTCAGGTCCTTGCACTGGCATAGGAAGCTCTTTACTCACTGAGCTATATCCCTAGCTTGAATATCCTACTTGTATACAACCTGTGATGAAACATGCTTTCTGTCTTCTTGTTAGCAAGTTGTCACTGGAACTTGTAATTAGGATAAAAGGTTATAACAATAATTGTGTTGTTGGTTGATTGTTTTTGAGACGGGCTCTGTGCTGGTTAGATTTTTTTGTTTGTTTTATTTTTCTTTTTAAAAACTTAACACAAGCCGAGATCTTCTGGCAAAAGGGAACTTCACTTGAGAAAATGCCTCCATCAAATTGGCTTGTAAGTATGAACATTTTCTTGATTAATGATTGATGTGGGAGGGCCCAGCCCACTGTGGCTGGTACCACACCTGAACAGGTAGGCCTGGGTTTTTTAAAAAAACAAGCTGAGCACCTGGGCATGATGGTGTACGCCTGTAGTCTCAGAACTCTGGGAAGGCAGGGGCAGGTAGATCTCTGTGAGGCCAGCCTGATCTACAAAGTGACTCTAGAACAGCCAAGGCTACACAGGGAAACCCTGTCACAGCTCCTCCCCCCAACAAAACCAACAAACAAACCACCACCACAACAAAAACTGAGCAAGCCATGGAGCAAGCCAATAAGCAGCATTTCTTCAGGGTCTCTGCTTAAGCTCCTGCCTCCAGGTTTCTGCTCTGTGAGATCCTGCCGTGGCTTTTCTCAGTGATTGGCTGTGATCAGGATATGTAAGCCAAAGAAATTTTACTTTCCAAATTTTACTTGTCATGATTTTTATCACAATGATAAAACTAAACTGGGATATTGGGAGACTTTCTTGGAACCACCGATGTTTTTTGTTGTTTTAAGATTTATTTATTTATTTATTTATGTGTTTGTTTATTACTTATACAGTATTCTGCCTGCATTTGTGCCTGCAGGCCAGAAGAAGGCACCAGATCTCACCACAGATGGCCATGAGCCACCATATGGTTGCTGGGAATTGAAATTAGGACCTTTTGAAGTACAGCCAGTGCTCTTAACTTGTGAGCCATCTCGCCAGGTCCCTCACCAGTGGTTTAAATAATGACACTGAGACTTCTAATAAAGCTTAGGCCTTTTGCTGCACTGTCTCCCAGCTTCTGTCTAAACTTAGCCTGGATATTCTAACACTACGACCTGTTACGTGGCTGGCTCTTTACCTCCATTCTCCACTCTTTGTCTGTTCCCTTACATGTCCTCTTCAATTCTCCCACTTCAACTTGCATCTCCCTGCCTCACTCTCTCTGCCCAGTTCTGCCCTCCTGCTTCCTACACCACCTACTGGCTGTCAGGTCTCCATTACAACCAACCAGCATCGAGACAACACCTGATACATCTCTTAGATTGCTTTTAGGCATGGAGGGCTGTCTGACCCTCGTGTTTTTGAGCAGGTGTGGAAGGACAAACATTTAAAAATATAAAGCTGGTGATGGGCCGTAGAAATGACGATACCAAGATCCTGCTAGCACTTAGCTTTCTGCCTGTACAGCGTTCAACAATAGAAAATACAGGGACATATACACAACGTTAAGGAAAGTCACTCCAACACTAGGGCACCATGGTAAATAATGACTGTCGGGGTGTTGGAGCTAGGGAGAAGCCTTTACTATGTGACCAGTTATGAACATCCCTGAGGCAAGCTGTCTTTGTCTTGTTTCTGTTGTTGTGATAAATGCCCTGACAAAAGCAACGGAGGGGAAAGGGTTTATTTTAGCTCACAATTCAGGCTATAGTCCATCTTTGCAGGGAAGTCACTGCTGTAGGATCTTGAGACAGTTAAACAATGCATCCATAGTTAAGAAGCAGAGAGGAATGAATTAATGAATGTGTAAATGCCTGTTCTCAACTCACTTTCTTCTTTTTAATACAGTCTAGGACCCAAGCCCAGGAAATGAGATCTCTTTCAAGCTGAGTTTTTCCATATCAATTAATGTAATCGAGATAATCCTTCACAGGCATGCCCTTAGGCTAGCCTAGTCTAGAAAATCTGTGATGCTTTAAATAAGAATGCCCCTCCCCTCCCCAAAAAAAGAACAACCCCATGAGCTCATTTGCTTGAATGCTTAGTTGTCAGCTAGTGAAACTGTTTGGGAAGGATTAGGAGGTATGGCCATGTTGGAAGAGGTGTGTAACTGGGTGTGGGCTTTGAGGTGTCAAAAGCCCATGCCAGGTCTAGTCAGTCTGTGTATCTCTCTCTCTCTCTCTCTCTCTCTCTCTCTGTCTCCCCCCTCTTCTTCCCCCTCTACATTTTTCAGATCAGATGTGAGCTCTCAGCTACTCTTCCAGTGGCATGCCTATCTCCCTTCCACCTTGCCCCACCATAATGTTTGTAAAATAATCCTCTGAAGGGGCTGGAGAGATGGCTCAGAGGTTAAGAGTGCTGGCTGCTCTTTCAAAGGTCCTGAGTTCATTTCCCAGCAACTACATGGTGCCTCACAAACATCTATGATGAGATCTGATGCCCTTTTCTGGTGTGCAGGCAGAGTGCAGGTAGAATACTATATGCATTATAAGTAAAAATAACTTTCTGAAACTATAAGCAAGCTGACAGTTGAATGCTTCCTTTTAGAAGTTGCCTTGGTCACGATGTTCCATCACAGCAATAGAACAGTACATAAGATACAAACCCTCATTGAGATTCTCTTCCCAGTTGTCTTATTTTTCAATTGCTGTGATAGAACACTACAACTAAGGTAACTTAGAAAAGAATGCTGTGCCAGGTGCAGTGAGAGTTTGAGTCTTGGCTGGTTTACAAAACAAGTCCAGGATAGCCAAGGCAAACAGAGAAACCCTGTCTTAGAAAAAAGAAAAGAAAAGAAAAAAAGAAAAAGAATGTTGTGCCCACAGAGCACTAAGGAAACCAGGAGTGTTAAACACACAGGGGCATCTCCTCAATGGAGGAAACAAAATATTTGCATTCCACCCAGAAAGCTGGTGTGGATTTTGTTGATGAATTGGCACCCTTTCACTATCTGTAGAGGCAGACCTCACCCAAATCTCCCAGAGTGTTTATCCCAGACTCTCCCTCCCTAGACCTTTATCTTTAGCTCCCAGTCAACAGAACCTGTCCTTAGGGGAGATGTCACTGGGTATTTTATGGCCTGCTGAGCTCTGTGCTATTTCAGTCAGAGACCCCACTAGATTCTAGAGCTTTAAGCTGTAGAACACATGTTCATGATCACATATACTTTGCAAAGGAGTTTCTGTGTAGTCCTATCTTAAGCTTTGTTGTGGACCTAGAATTGGAATGATTATTTCTGGAAACTTTTTCTGTATTGTTATATGCTGGCAGGTGACAATTGAAACACAGGATGAGCTGCTATAGATGAAGCAGTGCATCATGGTCTTAAGAACCAAGTGTGGCCTGCATTCTCCTTGTGTCTTGTAGAGATGACTTGTGGGAGGAGAGTGGTGACAGGCATAGAAATAGGGGAAACCCCATCCACTGACCTGAGGCCCTTGTTCACATCTCTGCCTCTTACTGCCACTCAGGCTGTTCCTCTTCCTGCAGAGCTTCACAGTGGCATTCTGCTGAACATCTGCTGAGAGCATTCTCCCCATTCCTGTCATGTTAAAAGTGTTTCCACAATCCTTGTCAGTCTTCCAAGCCCCCTGTGCATGGAGTGATGAAGATAATTGATATTTTGGGTTGTTGTTTTTGCTTTTTTTTCTAATTACCCACTCTAGCTCCCAAATAAAAGACACAGAGACTTATTAGATTTATTTATAACTTTTAAGCTTAGTACCTAGGCAGATATCCATTTATACTAATCCTTTAAACTAGTCCCAGCCATACCACAAGTTACTTGCCATATATTCTGTCTGGGCTGTTTCCACTACATCAGGCCAATTCTTAATCACCACACCCTTTTTCTCTTTCTCCTTCCTTCTTCCTTCTCACTCCTCTGTTGTGATCTTTTTAAACAATTTTAGTGGGGTTTCTTATGCCTGTCTCCCTTCTCCATGCCTTATCCCTCCTAATATCTTCCAACATTTAAACACTGAGGAGAGAAAGGTTAGTTGGGAGAAGGGACTCTTTAGACTTAGGATCTAATTAGGGTCGTTGGGTTCTTTGAGACAGTACCAGTCTCACTCATTAGGATATCTAACAGTCCAGCAAACCAGCCAACACAGCAGAAGGATGAAGCAGCAACAGCACAGGGAGCAGCAGCCTCTTCTCTCTTGAGATTTTTTTCCTTGAAGCATCCTTCCTCTCTCATATTTGTACCCTCTCATAGTCTTCAGAGTTAAACTATCTCCAGCTGGCAAAGACCACGCCCCTCACGAAACAGTTATCAGTGGTGGATAAACTAAAAGCAGCTTCATATCCCACACTTGGGATTAAAACAAAAACCTGTTTACATAACATAACATGTTTTTGTTTTGTTTTGTTTGAGACAGGGTTTCTCTGTGTAGCCTTGGTTGTCCTGTACTCACTTTGTAGACCAGGCTGGCCTTGAACTCAAAAAGATCCGCCTGCCTCAGCCTCCCAGAGTGCTGGGATTACAGGCATGTGTCACCGCATTCAACTCATAACTGAGTTTTTAAAGAAACCAAAACTTCCACTACTCTCCTCCCTTGTGGTTCCTGAGACCCCCAAGACTGGAAAGGGAAGCTCTGCCTCGCTATCTCCCCTGCCCAGTTTCTTTATTAACCAGAGATAACTGGGGAACAAAATTTATACAACATTGAACATTGTACAAGAGATTGCCCCCTACTGGACTGTAACCAGATCTCAGGGCCTAGGATTCATCACAGAATGAGACTAACCCCCAACAGTAGACATTAGTGGAGGGGACTCAAAACTCAGCTTGAATTGCTGGACACAGTGGCTCCCAACACTTAGGGAGACAGAGGCAGGTATATTTCTGTAAGTTCGAGGCCAGCCTGGTCTACAAAGGGAGTCCAGGGCAGTCAAGGTTACACAGAGAAACCGTGTCTCAAAAAAACAAACAACAACAACAACAACAAAAACAAGCAACAACAAAAACACCGAAAATAAAAAAACCCAACTTTTCATTACGGTTATTACTGACTACCCCAGCCCTTACTGTAAACACTGTACAGTAGTTTCTGGTAGTAGAAAATGGCTCTCTGACTTTAACTTCTAGAGTAATCATAGGGATTCTTATTTGCGTGCCATGTATTTCTATTGCTACATGACTGGGTCACATTTTGCCCATCTTAAGGAAATTTTCAGGACATTTTAATCCTCAGCCAACATGCCTCTTGCATTTCTGAGTCTTCAAAGTTATACTGTGTCTGAGATGTTCAGATGTGTGAGGGGAGTCAGTGCCTTTGGTATGGAGCTGTCCAAATGCCTCCTGTTGCTGGATGCCTGGCTTCTGTTGAGCCCTCTGATTGTAAATGCTTCTTGTTCTGTCTTCCACACAGGGGGAACTGGCCCTACCTCAGACACAGGCTGGGGCTGCATGCTTCGGTGTGGACAGATGATCTTTGCCCAGGCCCTGGTATGCCGGCACTTAGGTCGAGGTGAGTTGTAGTGCTTGAATGTGGTCCGTGTAGGAAAGGATATTTAAAGCACATCATAGAAGTTTGGCATGGTGGTACATGCCTTTAATCCCAGCCCTAGGGAGGCAGAAGCAGGTGGATTTTATCAGTTGAAGGCTAGCTTGGTCTAAATAGCAATTGCCAGGCCAGCCAAGGCTACAGTGCTTCCTTGTCTCACAAAAATTACGAACAAAACAAAAAAATATGTCATAGGCAAAACAAAGATTTATGGTGCTTGTCTAGCATGTTCAAGGCCCTAGGTTCACCCTCTAGTATTAACAAATTGTGTGTGTGTGTATGTTTGTATGTTTCCTGCCAGTGAAAAGCAGTGGGTCATATTCAGTGCTTATGCTGTGGAAAGTCCATTTGAAAGTTCTCTTACTCTCTGCAGGAAGCTTGCAGTGCTCAACAGACTTTTAGCCCTCTTTTTACTTAGTATTTTATTTCAGGAGCTCACTGAGTTGTGTAGGCAGACCTTGAACTTGCAGTTCTCTTATGTCTTAGTTAGGCTTTCCATTACTGTGATAAAACACCAAGACCAAAGCAACTTGGAGAAGAAAGCATTTAATCCATTTTTTTGTTTGTTTGTTTAATACAGTGTTCTGCCTGCATGTGTGCATGCAGATCACTGCACCAGATCAGATCTCATTATAGATGGTTATGAGCCACCAGGTGGTTGCTGAGAATTGAACTCAGGACGTTTGGAAGTACAGCTAGTGCTCTTAACCTCTGGGCCATCTCTCCAGCCCCCAGATATCCATCTCTCCAGCCCCCAGTTTATTCCATCTTACTGTCACACTCTGGTCACAGTCTGTTTCTGAGGGAAGTAAGGGTGGGAATTGAAGGCATGATCCTAGAGGCAGGACTGAAGCAGAAGTCATGAAGGAATACTGCTTCCTTGCTTACTCCTCATGGCTTGCTCAGCATGCTTTCTTAGACAATACAGGACTACCTGTCCAGGATTGGTACCACCCAGCCCTCTCACAGCAAACATTAGGAAAATGTTCAAAAGACTTGCCTATAGGTCAACCTTGTGTAGGCATTTTCTCAATTGAGAGTTCCTCTTTCCAAATGACTCTTGCTTGTGTCAAGTTGATATAAAACTGAACAGCACATTTTGCTTTACCAAAATGTAGCTGGAATTACAGTCTTGAATCACTTGGCCTATAATTTATGTTGACATAAATGTTTATTGTTTTAGAAATTATCTTTTAAACTGCTGAAACAGCTTTCTGCTTTCAGTATAGATCTGTTTTGATGAGACAGTGTGTGTGTTTTCGAAATCCTGGAGATTTTACTTTTAACTTAAAAGGGTTCAAAAATAAAGTATTGTATACGATCTGAATATTGAACACTGTGTACAAGGAAGGTTTGTTACTTGTGTAGTGATCAAACTAACCTCCTGTGTTGTTTCCAATAGATTGGAGATGGACTCAGCGGAAGAGACAGCCTGACAGTTACTTCAATGTCCTCAATGCTTTCCTCGACAGGAAGGACAGCTACTACTCCATCCACCAGATAGGTGGGGACTGAGTGTGTCCTAGGCTTGCCTCTGTACAGAGGGCAAACTCCTTGGGACTCCCTTGGGGGCTTTCCAAATCTTCCAGAGTTGGAGAATGAGGCTCTAGGTCACTCTAGCCTCTGACCCCTGTGAGCTGCTGTGGGTGTTCCAGCACTAGCTGAGACCCAAGCCTTCCCTGCCCCTGTACAGCCTTCAGTGACTCATTCCATGCAGTCTGTGTGAGTTAGGCTCCTGAAGATTTGGTTTGCTTTCCTCAGGAGGGTAGCTGTCCTGTTTAGACTTTTTATGAAATCTTTCCTGATGTATCAAAAGTAAGCATGCATGCACATACATATACACACCCCCTCCCCCCCGACACTTCTGGGATGGATATGTTTGCTAACATGGGTCTGTTTCCTGCAGCGCAAATGGGAGTTGGCGAAGGCAAGTCTATAGGCCAGTGGTACGGGCCGAACACTGTTGCCCAGGTCCTCAAGTACGTAATGAGCCCAGCCCTTCTGCTTCTTGGGGTCAGCATGAGTTCTCCTTGGCATTTACCCACTCCTTGAGTACTAATTGCCACAGAAAATAAGGTATTCTGATTCTTTGCTTATAGACCCAGGGGAGTCCCCTGGGTGACTATGCCTATTGTTCTGTGAATGGGATTCATGTTTAGGTCAGAGCCTGGTCCTGTCCTCTGTCCTGGTGTACAGATCCATCTGTGATGAGGGCATCTGAGATCTTGAACCATGGAAGTTTTGGTACTATATCTGCCGGTGCTATAACCTTTTACCTCTGTGGGTTTTTCAGAGACAATCACATAGATCATAAGCTTTCCCATGTTGTTCAGTGTCTGTTGGAGTTTGTTTCTGATGAGTCCTTGCCTGTCTCTTCCTGTCCTCTCTGTGGCCCCAGTGTCTGGAGCTCAGTCAGCCTTCTCTGATTGGCATGTGCTCCATAATTTCCTCTGGAATGACTGTGGTTTCCAGGGGGCATGCCACTTATCAGTGTATGACCCGTTGGTGTTTTTGTTTTGTTTTGAAGATTATTTTTATATGTGTGATATTTTGCCTGCAAATATGTCTGTGCACATAATACCTGTAAGGCTTACAGGGGAGGCAAGAGGAGGTTAGATCCCTGGAACTAGAGTTAACAAATGGTTCTTAGTTGCTATGTGGGTTCTGGGAACTGAACCTGGGGTCCTCTGCAAGAACAGCAGGTGCTCTGAACCACTGAACCATTTTTCCATTGCCTCTACTCTCCCTTTATTTTTTATTTTTTTACCTGATTCATTTCTCCCCGTGACTTTGTACTTTAATATTCTAGTGCCTTTGGGAGGCTCTGAACCAATGTCCAGGATTTACTCATGTAGGGTCCTTTCTCTATTGGACTAAAGCCAGTGTCTCCCAAATCTATGTCTAGCTATAGTTTCTCCCAAGTGTTCCCTTGACACCCTATTCTGTGTCTGCAATGGCTAACTTCTACAAGCTCCACCTGGACACTTCCTTTTTTCCTAAATCTGGTGCCCAGACATCCTGGGCCATGGCTGCCTGTGACTCTTTGGCTTGGTTTCTTTGTGACATGCACACCCATTCCATACCCTTAAATGTCCTTGTCCAAGTCCTGCCTTGTCTTAATTACTTTTCTGTTTCTGTGACAGAACACCATGACTAAGGCAACTTATAAAAACAAAACAAAACATTTAATTTTTGAGATTCACAGTTCCAAAGGGTTAGAGTCCATGGCCATCATGGCAAGGATCATAGCAACAGGCAGGCAGGCAGGCAAGCATAGTACTAGAACAGTACTTACATCTGATCCATCAGCATGAGGCGGAGCAAGAGCTAACTAGGAATGAGAAGCTTTTGACTTCTCAAAACCTACTCCCTCATCCTAATCCTTTTTAAACAGTTCCACAAATTGGGTGCCAAGCATTCACGTATATGAGCAGTGTTAGGAGAAATTCTCATTCTAATTAGTACACACCTCGTTAGCTTGTGCTGTAATTACAGGTTAGCCCCATGACTGCCACCTTTCACTGTGTCTCTATACAGCCTGATGAGGTCACCATCAGTGACCTGGTCATACCTGTTGTCTCACTTTTTCTGTCTTCATTCCCTTAGTATTACTATTTACATCTTTCTGGAAATGGCAAGTCATGTTGCTTATTCATTCTTACTGTTCCTGTCTCTGGCCTCCTCTGCTTTTGTCGCTAGATCCCTTTTCCTCACCTGTGGGAATTTCTCTGTCTTACACATGGGAATAGGGCTAAATCCCTGAACTCTTTGTTGCATCTCTGCCTGAAGACTCATAAGGCATGTTTCAAAGTTAGAACATTATGCCAGCTCTTGGCTTTATCAACCTGCTTTTCCCAAGGGAGATGTTAGTGGGGTTTCTTCAACTGCCTAGGCCAAAGTATGGGGCAGATGCTAAACTTCTCTGACTCTTAGTTGAGCATGCTAACCTATAATAAGTCAATTTTAACCCATGCTCATCCCTTCTCTTTGGTCCATGTCTTATCTCATTGTTAAGCCTCTTTCACTCATCCTAGACTTTTTCAAATAATAACCAAAGTCATCTCCATAAAATGCTGCAGCTCTTTCTGAGGCTCTAGTTGTCCTGGGTTTTTTAACTGGTTGCCACATCATGACCCACCCTGCTCCCTGACCTTCCTCTGCCTCGACACACCCTTGGATGGCATGTTACTAATACACTCCTACTTCAGGACTTTTGTATACTTTATGACGCCAGCTAGAAGCCCTTCCCCTGGCCTGCCTCTTGCTCCCATGACTCTGCTGACCACAGTCTACATAATTTATGCCCCCTCTAGCAGCCCCTTCTCAATCCCTGCTTTGGGGTTCTCTATAGTATATACTCCCTGCCCTACTTGCTTGCTTCTTCTTCCCTGACTTTATTGGCATTTCAGCACAGAGAAGTGCTGCTTTGCCTCTCCTGGGTCTGTCTCCTCACTGCTGTGGGAGGGTTTGATGAGTTGTGAGAAAACACCAGCTCTCCAGAGCCCCTTCCAAGTTTCCCATTCACAGGAAGGGGTAGTATGTGGTTTCCCTAGTGCAGTGGTTCTCAGCCTATAGGCTACAACCCCCTTCACAGAAGTCACATGCCATCTGATATCTTGCATATCAGATATTTACAGTACAGTTTGTGACAGTAGCAAAATTATACTTAATGAAGTAACAACAAAATAAATTAGTGGTTGAGAGCCACTGCGATATGAGAAACTGTATTAAAGGGTTGCAGCATTAGGAAAGTTGAGAACCACTGATCTAATGCCTTCCAGGCATTGGACTCTTGTGTTCCTGACATACCAGGACCTTGTAGCTTAGATCCTTGGCACCTGTCCTTATGTTGGGAATATCCCTTCTTGCTTTCTGTCTTCTTAGTTATTAATAGGCCTTCTGCCACACCTTCATAGCACCCAATTTACATTCTACTTCTAAACAGTATGGCTGCTGTCTGTTCTTCTTTTAGAGCCGTAAATCTGTAGCCATGTTTCCTCCCAACTGCTGGCCTCAGTTGTGCTGTTCATTAGATTTCTGGGGCTCTAAGTTCACAATGTAAGTTGCTAGGGAGAAGCTGCTCAACAGGGAGCTGTGCCTGCCTCCATACTGGTGAGACCTGCTATGCCACCCAGGGGCTCCTCTCCGCACTTTGTCTCCTAACAAAGGGCAGCTGGCATTTTCCCATGAGCAGCACTCAGCTTTCTTCCTGTTTGAGTTTATTGAACAAATCCTTGACTTAAGTTTTGAAACTGCCTTATGATTGTCACTGCAGTAGTGAGATGCTCATGCTGCAGAAGGCTCATGGGAGTATTCTCTCACTTTCTGTAGGAAGCTTGCTGTATTTGACACGTGGAGTTCCTTGGCTGTTCACATAGCAATGGACAACACTGTGGTGATGGAGGAAATCAGTAAGTGGCTCAGGGTTTTGGTTAACAAGGAGTTGTAGGTGATGGAGCTGAAGAGGGAGCCTCAGCTGGAGAGTTTGAGTCTCAGCCGCCCTTCCAGCGTAGGTGAAACATTTGCAAACCCCATTCACTTACTGTGCCTACTAGACTAAGGGAGAGAAATGAGTTCTCTCCAGCATCAGGTTAGTTATCTGTGTGTGTGTGTGCTCTAGATAATGAGTTAACGGTCACACCACATAAGGAAGGTTACAGTGGGAGAATCATTGAAGTTTGTGAATTCAAGGCTTATGCCTTTAATCCTAGCACTTAGGCTGTAGATCTCTGTGAGTTCAAGGCCAGCCAGAGCTACATAGTGAGACCCTATATTTAAAAAATAAAAAAGAGGGGGGTGTCCTTGGAGAGATAGCTTGGTGAAGAGCATTTGTTGCTCTTGCAGAAGACCCAGGTTCATTTCCCAGCACACTTAGGTGGTTCACAACCATATGTAACTCCATTTCTTCCAATACCCTCTTCTGATCTCCACTGGCAACATAAATGTGGTACGCATATGTGTAGGCAAGACACACATAAAAATAAAATGAATAAAATTTTTAAAAGAGAAAACATTTAAAATAAGTTAAATAGCTAAAACCGCAAAGCTAAATAAGCTCTCCTACCCTGTTCCCTAGAAAGTTCACTCTTGCAGAAAAGTTCAGTAAATGTATACTGCTTTTCGTCTCTTTTAATCTAGAAAGTTCTCCCTGTGTTTTCTTTTTAAAGTTTTTTTTATTTATGTGCATGTGTGTGTGTGAACTTAAATGCACCATGTGGATGCAGGTAATTTCTTGGAACTGCTGTTATATGACCCTCCATGGCTGCTGGGAACCAAACCTGGGTCCTTTGCAAGAGCAGTAAATGCTCTTAGCCAGCCATTGAGTTGTCTCTCAGGCACCTCCCTCTGTGTTTTGATCTTTCATAGCATTGACATTTTAAAGAATCTGGTTCAGTTAGTGGCCCACAAATTGAATTTGTCTGTTTCCTTGGGGTTGTAATTGAATTAAATATTTTAACACTTTTAATAGATAGATAGATAGATAGATAGATAGATAGATAGATAGATAGATAGATAGATAGATAGATAGATAGATAGTATTTTGTTGAAGGCCACCACTAGGTAGCTCTCAGTGGGCTCAGACTTATAGTGTCAGTGTGTTGTTATGTAACCCTGGGTTACTTGGAGAAGATGATGCCTATGTCTCAATAATACCATTTCTTGAAATTAATGAAGATGATTTTTAATATACATTGATGTTCTTTGTCTGAGGCATTTTGAATGTGTGACTTAACATGATGATTTTCCTAAATTGTTCCTTGATAAGTCTTTAATTTTCTCTTCCATTTTTAAATTTGAAAGACTCTGTCAATGTCTGTAGGTTTGTGGGTTCTTTTTACCCAGTGTTCTACCCAGTACTGTCACTTTTGATTCCCATATTACCTGAGATTTGGCCTGTAGCACCCCTTTAAGCTGGCTGTCTTGATTGGGCTTCCCATCATGTTTTGTGACTGGGCATGCCCCCCCAGCACCAGCGTTAGGGAAGTGCTTTCAGCAATTTCTGTGTGATCCCTTTCCATAACAGGAGTGAAGAGTGTTGGGGGTGTGTTGTACAATACTGAAGTTGTCTGACCACCACCAGGCCCTAATTAATATGTTTATTGAAGGCTAGTTCAGTACATTTAGACAGAAGAAATAATAAAGAATGAAGAAAAGCTGTTTACTGGTTCTCTTTTTGCTGAAGAGGGCTATAAGTGAGCCGGGTCTGCCTAGGCTAGATTTTCTTTAAAGTGCACATAGGAGATGGCTCAGTAGATAAAGGCACTTTGCCACACCATTCTGGTCAAACCAAGTTTGATCCCTTGAGCCCATGTTAAGATGGAAGGACAGAACCAACTCTTCAGTGTTGTCCCCTGACCTTCACACATGCAGTGTGGGTCATACTTCTGTCTCACATTGAACACAATTATGTTTGTTTGTAATAGGGACTCAGTTTGTACATCAGGCTTTTCCTGAACTCAGAGAGATCCCTTGTGTAGTGCTCATTTTTTAACACTATATTTTGTTTGGGGTGTTTAGATCTTTACCTCACTTCCAACCTTCCAACCCTAGGTAGGAGAGGGAAGGTTAGTGAGGAGAGGGGGCATAGACCCCTTTACTTCTCCCAACTGTTTAAAGTCAATGGGTTCTTTTAGGGCTATACCAATCTCCATCACCAGCAAATGCAGCCAGCAGTCTCTTCCAAGCTGCTCTGTCCTGAAGCATTTCTCTCTGTCAGTCTGCTCCAAACTTCCACACTGTCAGTGACCACACCCTGAATGAGACAACTATCAGCTGTGGACAAACTAAAGCCCAGACTAAAATCCCACACTTGGGATTAAAACAAAAAAAATGTTTACATGATGTAACTGAGTTTACAATGAAACCAAAACTTTCATTACACCCCTGCCTCTGCTGAGTGCTAGGGTTAAAACTACCTGCCACCATGCCTGGCTTAATAAGAATTTGGAAGTTTTTAAAGTGCAGCCTGGGAGATGATTTCAGCAGTTAAGAGTACTAGGTTACACTTTCGGAGGACCCTGGTTCAGTTCCCAGTTCCCACATACTGGTTCACAACTGTCTGTAACTCCGGTTTCAGGAAATCCAATACTCAGAGTCCTTTGTGGGCACTGCTTGTTTGTAAATGCAGGCAAAACAACCATACACATATTTTTGAGAATCTTTATGTGTAGAAAATGTTTCTCTTTTTTTTAAATGTGTTTTAAGTGTTTTGCCTGTATGTATGTGTGTATACTACATGTGTTCTCTGCTCAAGTAGGCCAAAAGAAGGCATTAGAACCCCATGTAAATGGAGTTAAGGTCGTTAGGAGCCACTATGTGGGTACTGAGAACTGAACATGGGTCCTCTGCAAAAACAACATGTTCTTTTAACCATTGAGCCATCTCTCCAGCCCCTAGAACATGTTTCTTTGAGTGGGGACATTTTTGTTCTCTAAGCTTGTTTGTTTGTTTTCTAGACAAGGTTTCTCTGTGTAGCCTTGGTTGTCCTGGAACTCACTGTAGACCAGGCTGGCCTGGAAATCATAGAAATCTGCCTGCCTCTGCCTGCCTCTGCCTCCCAAGTGCTGGGATTAAAGGTGTGTACCACCACCACCCGACAAGTTACTCATATTTTAAGTAGTTGGGATTTTTGGTTTGTTTGTTTAATTATTTATTTTCATTTTTATGTGCATTGGTGTTTTGCATGCATGTATATATGTGTGAGGGTGTCAGATCTTGGAGTTACAGAGAGTTGTGAACTGCCATGTGGGTGCTGGGATTTGAACCCAGGTGGTCTGGAAGAGCAGTCAGTGCTCTTAACTGCTATGTTATTTAAATTATTTTATGTGTGTGGGTGTTTTGCCTGCATCTATGTTTGTGCACTACTTGCGTGCCTTGTGCCTGCAGAGGCCAGAAGAGGGTGTTGCATCACCTGGAACTGGAGTTACAGACAATTGTGAGTTACCAAGTGCATGCTGGGAATTAAACCTATGTCCTATGAAAGAGTAGCCAGTGCTCCCAACCACTGAGCCCCTGAGCACCTGTTTTTTAAAGCACCTTTTCTCCTTGGGGGGAGGAATGTCTGTCTGCCTCTGCTTAGCTCATGAAAATATGTCTTTCCAGGAAGGTTGTGCAGGGCAAGCCTTCCCTGTGCTGGAGCTGCTGCATTTCCAACAGAGTCAGAGCGGCACTGCAATGGGTTCCCTGCAGGAACTGAAGTCACCAACAGGCCATCAACTTGGAGACCCCTGGTGCTTCTCATCCCTCTCCGACTGGGACTTACAGATATCAATGAGGCCTATGTGGAGACGCTGAAAGTGAGTCTTAAGTGTAACTCTTAACATGGGCCCCATGCTTTCAAATTTTCATCTATTTCAGTGTGTGTTTGCCTAGCTGTTCCTCCCAAGAGTGGAGCTAAAATTAATTTTATAAGTCATGTTGAGACTCTTATAAGTCATGTTGACACTTTACAAAAGTGTCTTCAGGACCAGTCAGCCTATTGCTGAAGGCATCAGGTCCTTCTGTCTCTCCCAGGTCTCTCTGCCGTGCCCTATCTGGGCATCTTTTAAGCTTCTAGTTCTGTCTGGAGCAGTAGTTCTCAACCTATGGTTCATGACCCCTTTGTGGGTGGGGATAGGCCGATGAGGATGGGTACTGTAGATAGATTCACTGAGAATTCCATCCATCTCTTCCTTTGATTTCCCCTACTACTATCACAAGAGGCAAAACCTTTTGAACTTATTTACCTCAGATATTAAACTGAAAGTCAGCCTTACTGTATGGAATGGCAGTACTGCTTTTTATTAAAATCTTTCACTTTTAATCACCTTTCAGTGTTCAGGTAAGACCAAGTATATAAAATCTCTCACTTCTTTTGGTTCTGATTTGTCCCTCCATATCTCCTGACTATCCCTGGCCTCTCTCTACCGCTGCTGTAGCTTCTGAGATCACTTCCTCTGTCACTTCCCTTGCTGATTTCCCATTCTTATCTGACTTGTCTTCTGTTGTCATTTCTCCTGTCCCATTGGCCAGGCCACCACTTCATTGCGCCTGTTCACACTTCGAACTTACAGCTGCATGTCATTCTACAAGCTATCCCCCAAACCTATCACCTCTCCTTCCCAGTTTCCCCAAGTAGAACTGTGAGCCTATGCTGTATGTTGTTGGACCTCTTGTACTGGAAGCTTTCTGTGATATGTCTTCTTATATTTCTTCTGTGTCATTCGGGTAGGCCCCTGGAGGCCGTGGCCTACCTGTGATTGTGGATGGTGAGGCACACACTTCTGTGTGTTGGACTATGTAGGAGCATGCTTTTTGCATGCTGTCGCAAGGCCGGTGTGCTCAGTGGCCTTCCCTCTTCTCTCCTGCAGCACTGTTTCATGATGCCCCAGTCCCTGGGTGTTATTGGAGGGAAGCCCAACAGTGCCCACTACTTTATTGGCTACGTTGGTGAGTCTGGTTTGCATGTTATGGGTGCATAGGGATGGTCTTTCTCCCTGAAGGGGTGGATCTTTTCTGTGGAGCTGTGTTGTTACCTCACTTGCTTCCTCCCAATCACTGTGGTGGCATGCACCCCACTGCTACCTGACATTTTGATTCCTACCTACCTTCTTTATGCTGACTATGATATGGTAGGTCTGGATGTTGCTCTGGCCTGCTCCCTTCCTCTTGCCCAGCTCTGGCTAACTGCCTGTGATGTCTTCATCATCTTGCCCAGGTGAGGAGCTCATCTATCTGGATCCCCACACTACACAGCCTGCAGTGGAGCTGACTGACAGCTGCTTTATCCCCGACGAGAGCTTCCACTGCCAACACCCTCCCTGCAGGATGGGCATTGGGGAGCTTGACCCATCCATTGCTGTGGTATGTCCCAACCATACAAACTCTTAGGCAATTGTTCTGTGTCATCCTGTGCCAGTCCTGCAGTGGACTATAAAGGAAAATGTCTAGATTTTTGTAGTTTTTCCAATATTGTAGAGTGTTAGGTTCACATAGTTGAGGATCCCAAGACCTCTTATCTTCTCCGAAGACAGTTCACCTCCTGAGTGGCTTTCATAACCACAATGTATGCAAGTGTTACCTGAGATAGAGTGTATGTACCAACTGTTAGGGTGTGTGTTTCTCCTTCTTATAACACATAAATGACAGCTTGATTGAGTCACCCATCTGTACCTCTTTTTCTGTTTTTTTTTTTTTTCATAATTTTTTATTTGTTTACTTGATGTATCTTGGAGATGATTCCCTTGAATGAGCTCCTCCATCTCCCTTTTTGATGATATAGTAGGTATTTCTTACAGGTTATGCAAAACCTGCCTACTCAAAATATATGTGGGAGAAAGAGAATAAAAAAACTCACAAAAGTCGAAACAGTGCCATACCGGGGAAGTCATTGCCTTGTCAGGCTGTTCATCTTGTTCACTGGCAGCGCAGCATGTCAAGTACCAATCTCTGACTGTCACAAAGATACAACACCCAGTACACACTCTGCCACATATGACCCTGCCAAGTTCTGAGAACAGTCTGGGACTCTGTGGCTCAGGCTCCCTATAGAACCCACTGTAAATCCCTCCTCTCACTAGAGTTTGTATACATTTCAGTGACTACAGCTCAGCAGCACATAGTGATTGGAACTTGATGTACTTAACACCAGCTAGACAGCCAGCCTTGTAGATGTTAGACACGTGGGACTATCGGGTGCATAGAGCATGATGTTTAAGCCCCAGTCCTAGCTTTTGAGAGCTGAGATCAAGGACACATGGTAGAATTACTCTTCCTGTCACCATTGGATAGGCCTTCCATCATTGAGGGATGCCTGTATGTGTGAACCAAAGCATGGGCAGAGCAGACTGCCTGGCAAGTGCACTCCAGCATCTCTGAAGAGATTACAGCTTCATGCTTGTCATAGATGTGGTCACTACTCTCACGGTAATTTTCATTTTAGGGATTTTTCTGTAAGACTGAGGAAGACTTTAACGACTGGTGTCAGCAAGTTAAAAAGGTCTGTAGCTGCCCCTGTCCAGAGCCAAGATGAAACCTCTGGGGACCCAGGCAATGAAGTGGCTGGGGTAAAGGGAGTCTCTTTGTATGGACTAGCTAGGAACTGGTTGCCCGGGGAGTTTTGTTCCTGCCTCACACTTGGGCAGGCTGTATGGGGGAGGGGCCTCACATTACTGTTTCTCCTGGTTATATGTAGGTCATAAATAAGTTTTACACATTACCTTTATGGTGGGGTGGGGTTCTGGCTTACTCATCTGCCTTATGTGGTTATGTAATTAATTGTATGCCAAAGACTGCCCCTGTGCTGGTTGTTTCCTGTTATCCTCCCCATGCCTTCTGTGATCATGTATGCCTGATGGGGTGACACACCATTACTAGTAGGCAGGCCTGTGCTGTGCTGATCACTGTTTTGGGCTATGCTGTAACCTTTAGTATGTATACTACCTCCATGTTCTTATCTGTGAAATTAGATTAGACCTCTGCAGGCTGGAGGCTATAATTACTGTCGAGGGCATCTAACAGCTGTATCTCACTGACAGCTATCCCTGCTTGGAGGCGCCCTGCCAATGTTTGAGCTGGTGGAACAGCAGCCTTCCCATCTGGCCTGCCAGGATGTCCTGAACCTGTCCCTAGGTGAGTGGGGAGACTGCAGACCCAAGTCTGGATTGGATGGTCCCCTGTCCATATCTCTTAGTTCATGTAGTCTGTGCCTGCCACAAGCCCTCAGGTCTTGATCTTTTTCCTATTAACGCTTTGTGAGGCCCAGGTGCAAATAGCTAGTTTGTTGAGAGGGAACTATAGAGCGCCCCATGCCTGAGCTTGGCAGCTTATCTATGTCTAGCCAGGGTGCTGTGGAATGAAGCATGTTCCCACAGGTTGCTTAGGCACTGTAATGACAACGGGTTTTGTGATGATGGAGTCCATCTATAAGTCACTGGGAATGAGAAGTCCTGGCTCCTTGGACTATGACTTGTGCCTGCAGGGTTCAGCCCTGGTCCTATAGGGCAGCACAATAGAGTTCAAGGACCAGCCTTAGGAGATACCTGGTTAGACCTGGTTACCCCTAAAAGGAATGGGGGTGCCCTTTCTTGCCTTCATTCTCCTGGGTCTGTAGCAGATCCTACCACTTGTATGCTGGCAGGAGTTAGCTATTGTCTTTCACAGAGTTCTCATCCCTCCTTAGGACCTGTCACTTGCTCATAGGTCCAAACCCCTGTATACTTATTAAGACTCTAGTCTGGAAGGGGCTTACAGGGCATAGCAGGCCTATTTTAATCTATCCCCCTCTATTCCAAACCCCACCCATACTAGCTCCCAAGACATGTCTAATGTTTTATCTTGTTCCTTCCAGATTCTTCTGATGTAGAGAGACTGGAGAGGTTCTTTGACTCTGAGGATGAAGACTTTGAAATCTTGTCCCTCTGAAAATCCTGGGGTTGGGGAATGGCCTCCATGGCCCTCGTTGGGGTGCTTTGAGAACCCAGACCTGCCTTGGGCACTCAGTGTCACCGCATTCCATCCACCTAGCCACCCCTGCCAAGTGCTGTTCGCCTGTGCCACCTCTGTCCAGAGGGCCACTTTGCTCATGGACCAAGGACTGCGGTGCCTGGAGGCCTTACTGCTTGGAGTCAGACTGCCTAACCCCAAACACATGAAGGGCCTGTCCACATGAGGTCGCCCATCAGAAGGCCTAGTCAGGAAGAGCAGCAAGTCAGGAGCTTCCAGAGTTCTCCACTTGATACTGCCAGCCCTGGTCAGCACATCAGCTTTGGTTCTGCTTTCTTCTGGGCATCTGGGTCTATGGTTTATTTGGAATTAAAGCCCTATTTGAAGTTGTTTAACAAAGACATGAATTTCTGGGGCACTTCCCAGGGCAGCCTTAGAAGATCTGCAGGTTGATGTGTACAGAGTGACAGTCACATCATGGCCTCATACTGCTGGGCAGGGTGAGCTTTCGGGCTGTCTCCTCTGCCCAGTGTGATTTATCAAGGGCTACCTCGGTGGGAGAGCATATGGAAAGAATCACAGCAAGGCTGCTACTTGCTTTGGAGAGAAAATATTCTTGTGGGGCATTGGAAAAATCCAAAGATATCAGTGTGCATGGGCACAGTGTGGACACCTGAAGCTTGGGGCAGCTGACAAGCCCCCAGGGCATCTGGAGTTGTAGTCCTGAGGTTCCCTATTAGGACCTCACTAGGGAAGAGGTTTGTTTCCTATAAGGGGTTGATGCATTTGTTAGCTTGCCACCCAGCTTCCCTCTGGGGGGAAAGGGAGGGGAGCAGAGCTGCTCTTTGCTTGTGACACTGTGCCCGCTGGTAGTAGGGTACACACTGCTACTTGAGCCTTCCTCTCTGTTCCTTTTGAGAAAACTCTCCTGGATCACAGAGAATTTTAGATGGTCTGGGTCCAAAAAGATAAAAGTACTACAGCTTTGTGGTACACAATAAACATTTGGACAGAGCTGGTAGCTCCAGGCACTAGCAGGTGAAGTGTCCAGCCCTCCTTGGCACATACCTGACACCTTCTAACCCTGGCTTTCTGGGCCCTCAAGCTTTGATGCTCTAGGTCTGCTGTCTTAGAAAAAGGCCTGTCCTCCCCCTAGATACCAACAGGGCAGTGTGCCGTGACCCTTGCAGGAGCCTTTACTAAAAACCCTTCCCTAGCAGCCTGTAGATTGGGTGAGGCTGGAGCTGTTCGCTGATAAAGCAGCTCTAAGGGGCCCACAAGGTAGCAGGAGGCATCCCTCTCCATCAAGTGTTGATGACATATTTATTTCATCTTATTCTCTTTCTCTCTCACACAGCTTGTCCCTTAGCTTCAGGTGGCGTGGGATAGGGGAAAGGCCAGGACAGTTTCCATTCCTCTGGGACTTGCTTCCTGAATCCAGTAGCCATTGTGCTGGCTGTGGCCCAGGGTCTTGGTGTTAACTCCTGCTGTTAGTAACCAAGGGTGGATGTGTGGAACACTACAACCCTAGGGAACTCCCAGGGCTTGAGAAAGGCTTCCTGAGGTTGTTCATTCTTAGTAGTGTAGTTTGCAATTCTTAATGGTAATAATAAGTTTCAGTAGAAAACAAAGCTTGTGTGTGTTGATTTTTCTTCCAGTTATGGTTAGATGTGATTTTAGTGTTAACAGGTAAAGATTTCCCCAAGTTGGACAAGTAGAGCCTGCTCTGCCTCTGGTCTGGCTATGTAGCCAATGTCTGTTTTCCTTAAGTAAATACATAGTCCTAAAAAGAAAAAGTGCAAGATGATAAAAATGAGCCAGGTGATGCCGGGCGGTGGTGGTGGTGGTGGTGGTGTCACACGCCTTTAATTCCAATGCTCAGGAGGCAGGCGGATCCCTTAGTTTGAGTCCAGGTTGGTCTACAGAGTGAATTTCAGGACAGCCAGGGCTACACAGAGAAACCCTGTCTAAAAAACAAAACAAAACAACAACAACAAAAAACAGGGCTGGAGAAATGTGGGCACATACACCCATAGAAATAAGTGGTAAAAATCTTGTTTAAGGGGGCTTGAGCTTAAGAGCACTGGCTGTTTTTCCAAAGGTTCTGAGATCAATTCCCAGTACTACAGGTGGCTCATCTAGAATGAGATCTAGTGCCCTATTCTTGCTCATACATGCACACAGAATACATAAATAGTAAATCTTTAAAAAAAAAAAAAAAAAAAGCCGTATTTTAAAAATGAGCCGTAACTCTTTGTCTGGAGAAAGTGGAAGAATACCCAAATACAAGGCTTGCCTCAGGTCCCTCCAGGGAAGCTGTATGTGGGTACCTGGCTTTGGCCTGGAGACAAATAGAGATACAATCAGGGTATAAGTAGGAGACTATGAGGATCATCTCATTCTGCCTGATGAAATCTCAGTGGGACAATCCTGGCTTAACACCTACCTGCCCTCTTGAGTCCAAATAAAAGAAAATTGAGGACTCAAGCATTATGGCCCAAGACTAAGGCTTCCCTCTCAGTACTGTGTTGACTTTTGTTTGGTTTTTTGAAGCAAGGTTTCTCTGTGTAGCCTTGTTCTCAAACTCATTGATCTGCCTTACCCGAGTGCTGGGATTACAGGTGTGTGCCTCCACACCCAGCTCTCTGTTGGCTTCTTGTGGATGCTATGACTACAGAGAACATTACCCACAGCTGAAAGTTGTTCTTAAGGTCCTGGAGTGCAGAATGCAGACTATGCTAATAGCGCATGACCCACAGCTGAAACTTGTTAAGGTCCTGGAGGGCAGAAATGTATACTATGCTACCAGCAGGGCCAATTTTCCAGCATCCAGAGGTTTCTACATTTCTCTCTCAGGCCTACAAATGCTCTATGTCTCCTGACTTGGGACTGCTTGTTAAGAAGAGGCCTGTGCTGACCTACCTGTCAAGCCCCCTACTTTTTTTTTTTTTTTTTCTTTCTTCGAGACAGTCAGTGTCTCTCTGTGTAGCCCTGGCTGGCCTAGAACTCAAGAGATCCACTTGCCTTTACTTTCTGGGTGCTGGGATTAAAAGTGTATACCACCTGGCCCAGGGGAATACTGAACACCCAGGTACCATCCTCTCACACTATGCTCCTAACCTGTGTCCTTTTGAGAGTGAGACGAATGTGCTTTACCTCATATTTAACACCCTACACATGCAAGCTGCAGGAAATGTCAAATCAGCCTATGTTGGAAGAGATAGTGTGAACAGCTCTAGCAGCACTGACAGAACCAACAAGGTTATTATCAGTGGGCTTAGAGTGATGAGCATCATGCCAATAGATAAGCCTGACCACCTGCGAACACAGACATGGAGCCTAATAACACTGAAACCCACAGTGGAAATACCATCAACAGTGGGCAGACCCATCTCCACAGATGCTTAGGAGAAGCTAGTGAGGTACATTTTTAGGTAAATTTTTTTATTAGTTTCTGTAAAAACTATGAGTCTCAACTAATTGATGTTTTTAGGGATGAGTTACCAATAAAGTTTATTATGGAAAAACCATAACACATTAACACCTTTATAGCCAAGAAGTGGGTAGAGGGAGACACTGTGTGACTTGTTCACACCCCCAAAGTCTCAGGTTAGGACTAAAGGCCCTTAGCTCTCTCCTGCCAAGAAATAGCCCCTGCTGCATAGTGTTGAGATGTGAGCCCTCCACCAGTCTCCTAAAGGACCTGAAAATAGTATCTGCAACGGAGCACTGACTTATTTCCATAGCTCCTCCAGTGGCCTCTGTGCAGCGTTGCGGATGGCGTCCTCAGAGAGGGCTCGGATTTCTTCATGGACATCCTCAATGCTTTTGGAAGCATCAACCACCTGTCATCATAGAGGAAACAGCAGAAAAAGGATCATTACACCACCTTCCCGTTATTCCCAGTGCTTGTGGTGACATTAGCTGAGCCAGGGCCCTACAAAAGGCAACCTAAATTCCCACAGGGGCCCTTCACCTACACTTTCTTTGAACTTGGTATTTTTGGTACAAAACAAGATGCTCTAGCTACCCATGTTGCTCCTAAGCAGACTGAACAACTGCCCTCCAGTTGACAAGAATGGGCTCCAAGCCAGGAACAGTGACCCACCCTTTTAGTTCCAGCATTCAGGTGGCAGAGGCAGGAGGATCTTTATGAGTTCAAGACCAGCCTAGACTACATAGTGAGTTCTAGGACAGCCAGGGCTACAGGGCTACACAGAGAGACCCTGACTCAAAAACAAAACAAACAAACAAAAAACAGGTTGCACAAAAACTGTCCTAACACAGCAGCTCTGTTCCTCAGGACAGGCTAGGGACGCTTCTTTCCAGGGTTAAGCCAGGAGAGATAAGTGTCAGTATCTCCAAGTTCCTTCATCTATGGGGTCTGGACAGGGCCCTTGGGTCTGTAAATCTGGCTAAGCCCTTTGGCAGCAAGTTTTTGAAAAGCTTCCAGGGGCTTATGGAAGTTCACAAAGCATGACTGTGTAAGGGAAGAGCTCACATGTCACCTTCTAGAGGGTAGCTTGACAACCCTAGTACAGCCACAGTCCTTGCCCAAACTATCCAGGATTGCTCTCTGGGTTGACTTAGCATCCAGGAAAGTAAAAGGGCTTCAACATCATCTAACAGATGCAGAAATTTAGGGCACACTTGTAAATCATGAGGTGTACTATAGACAGGAACTATAGAAGCAGCACCTTCTGTAGACAAAACTGGTTTGTGATGTTTGGAACACTCAAATGCTGGGTTTGAAGTCTGGGAACCTTAGGCAACTGTCAAAAGATGGACTGTGCAAACAAGGCCAGTCCAACCAGGACCATTCTGGCTGTTGAGTAGATGTAACTGCAGGAATGAAAGTACAATTAAGATCAGAGTAGGAGAGACTAGAAAGATGGCTCAGCTGTTAAGAGCACTGTCTGTCCTCCCAGAGGCCCCAAGAGTTCATTCCCAGCACCACCTGATGGCTCACAACCATGTATATTGGGATCTGATGCCCTCTTCTGGCATGCAGGTGTACACACAGATAGAGCACTCATACATAAAATAAATAAATAAATCCTAATCAAAGTAGGAACAAGCAATAGTGAAGGGGCTCCTGTTGGCTTCCATGCAAAAGAACGATGTGGAAGTTGAAACCAATTCCTGAGACCAGTGCTGAAACAGGGTTACTGAGTGGAGGAAACAGGACTAGAGGGAAGCCAAGAATGGACACTTTGTGTGCTCCTGGTGATGGCCATGTATATAGGCCCCCAGGGCTCCAAAGAAACAGGGTAAAGTCCCAGGTTGTAGAAGGTGCCGACAGTATGACCCAGGGCCAACAAGAAATCACAGCATGAGCTAAAAGGAAAAGATACATCTGAATATGAAACTGGCAAACTCCTTTTTCTGCAGTACTTCCTAAGTATAATCCAATTACAGGCAGTACACTGAAGAGTCCATTCCTATGACAAAGACAGAAGGTAAAGTGTGATGTAGCTTGCAAGACCATTTCTGATCTTTTTCTTTTTTTAAGATTTATTTATTATGTATACAGTGTTCTGCCTGCATGTACACCTGAATGCCAGAAGAGGGCACCAGGTCTCATTATAGATGGTTGTGACCCACCATGTGGTTGCTGGGAATTGAACTCAGGACACCTCTGGAAGAGCAAGCAGTGCTCTTAACCTCTGAGCCATCTCTCCAGCCCTCAAGACTTTCTGAACATTTCTGTACAAGCTAAAATCTTGTACAGGATAAGACGCAGAAGTTTCCTGGGGCTCATCTCTGAGTCTAACCACCACAAAAAAGTCTGATGGCAGAGAACTAGAATAGCTTTTTTGTAGTTTCACAGGTGGGTAACCAAACTACACCAGCTGTGACTATGTCAGCAGAGGGTAGCCTACCACACAGCTTCTCAGTGGCTGTTTGCAGTTCTAGGACTTACCTTCCAGTTCAGGTCTTTATCACCCATGAGCTGCTGGAAACACAGCAGAACCTGCTCCTGGAAAGTCCCAGTCTCATAGCGCTCAAGACCAAACTCTCCCCGTGCAGCAGCATCCAGCAATTTTAACTGGAGGAACAGGATCAGGTCAGGTTTGGGAAGGCCCACATCTGGTTGTTTGCACCAATCGAGAGAAAAATTCTGCCAACAGAGAACCCAACAGTTAGAGACAAACAAAGTAGTGCATAATCTTTTGTTTTAAAGTGTGTGTGTGTGGGGGGGGGGTTCTGGAAATAAGAGTAAACAGGATGGTATCAGCTCTGCAGTCTGCTGTGGACCTCATTACATCTTGTACCTTGTCTCAGAATGAGGCATGACATATATATATATCCTGGTCTATTCAACCTTAGAAAGTCCACACTGAAAAGCAGTTTGTTATAGAGACAGGACTACATTTTTTGCCATAATCTTGCATTCCAATAAACACTGAAAGAAACTGTCAGTCCTAGAAACCCACTGCATGCTTGCCTGCCTATTAATTTCTCATGTACATCTTCCCACTTACTCATCAACTTGCTAGAAAGGTTCTCGTTTTCAGAAGAATAGTAGGACTATAAGCGCATGACCCCAAAGGTCTCCCTACAGGGCCATAGTATGCAAATCCTCTGTCCTGACATCTTAATATAAAGAAAATATTTGATTGGGTTATGA